ACATTTATCAGAATGTATCCTGTCATTAGGCGTTATATGACCAAATCTGAAAATTTAATAGAGCTGGCATGGTGGTGCATGCCTGTAATCCCAGTTACTCAGGAGGCTGAGGCAGGAGGATTACAAATTCAAGGCTAGCCTTAGCAACTTATCAAGACCCACAACAACTTAGTGACACCCAGTCTCAAATTAACACAATAAAAAAGACTAGGGAGCTGTGGCTGTGGCTCAGTGGTAGTATACTTGCCTCGCATGTGTGAGGCACTGGGGTTGATCCTCAGCACCACATAAAAAATAAATTAATTAATAATCAAATATATATATTATATATATTAATAAGTATATATATATATATATATATATATATAAAAAACTAGGGATATAGCTCAGTGGTAAAACACCCCTGGGTTCAAGCCCTAGTTAAAAAAAAATAGGTATGAACAAATCTGCCCTTTCCAAGCTTACCAATGAACATTAACACAAAATGGCATATGAGATCATCAATTTCCCCTCAGTCTGTTTATTAATACTCTTAAATCTTTCTTTCTCTGGTTGTGGAGTCCTCTAGATTTGTTAACTCTTTTGCTGGGCCCTGTTTTCTCTATTAGTTAGCAGTCCCTGGCTGTCCTGTTCCTCCTTGGCCTTACAGATCTGGCATATGCCTGGCTTGATATCTGACTGTTTGGTTGACATTAGCACTCCGTCACTTTTTACCTTCAAAGTAGGGGAAAGTTTATAGAACACCCCTCACGCCATATGGCGGCAGTTGTATGTGACCAGTTCCTCCTTTAGCCTCCCCAACTGGGAGACAGACTAGGGAGGGAGTCTATCTACACACGTTATCATTTTGTACACATGGGGGGGGGGGTCCTATAAGTATTATCAGATGAGTAAGTGATAAAATACAACACATAAGCATGTGGGTGTTGTGAGGCTGAGTGTGGCATATTTTAAGCTTTGGGGCTTTGGCTAGGTACTTAACAGTATGCACTTGCTCTCAGGAGCACTCTTGCTCTGTGTAGAAACAGATCCTTCCTGTAACACTGCCCTCTTGTGGACTCCTCTGGAAATGCTACTTCCTTTTACAGAACCCTTTGATTGTCCAGGTACCCCCTAAGCTGCTCTACATTCTTAGAAGACATGGGGCAATCTCTTTTATCCCAGCTGGGTCATTCTGACACAAACCTCCAAGTGGCATTAGTGTGTCCAGATTTTCACACCCCTATGGAAAACAGCCCCTTTCAACTATTGTCAGCTGCCTTTCTTTCACTGAAGGTCCCTGGGAGTCACAGGAGCATCAGAACAGAGGTCTCACTGTTGGTATCGTTCTAGGACTCTTGAAGTGATCTAGTCTCCAAAGCCATGTCAAGCAATGAATAGATTCAGGAGAAGTAGAACAATAATAACACTCTTAAACTCTGTTTTACAGTTATTTGTTAAATGAAATGAAAGTCACTAGAAGAGAGAAAAAGCAAAGAAACCCTGCATAATATGCAAAGTACCAAAAGCTAGAAGGCAAAAGAAGATCTTTAAATACTATCCTATCTAAGGTGATGTCCTGGGTTCCTTCAGTCAACCTTGATTTCTCCCTCCCCCATATTTCTCCGATCCTCACTTTAGTTGTCTCCACTCTTGTCATCTGCTAGGGTCAGAATTACTTATATTTGTATTCCATGTGCTTCTGAGGGGCACAGATTCAAGGCTTTGGATCTCCCAAGTCTTTGATGTCTAATTAAGTTAGGGAAAAGATATAAAGATGACTGATGGGCACAATCTGTGTTCATATTAATTTCCTGCCGCTGCTGTAACAAAACACCACCATCTTGGTAGCATAAAATAATAGAAATGTATTCTCTCACAGTTCTGGAAGCCAGAAGTCCAAAGTCAGTATCACAGGATTGACATGAAAGTGGCAACTGGACTACCCTCCTTCCAGAGCACTTAGGGGAGAGTCTATTCTGTGACGTTTCCGCCTCCTAGTGGCTGCTGGCATCCTTTGCCTCGCTTTACTCTATGGGTCTATCTTCATACCACCTTGTCCTCCCTCCGCTCCTCTCTTATAAGGAAATTTGTGATGTCATTTAGGACACATCCAGATAAAATAACCTCCTCATGCCAGAATTCTTAATTCAATCACATCTACAAAGATCCTTTTTCCTTACAAGGTCACATTAAAAGAGACCAGGGGTTAGAACCTAATATTTTTAATTTGGTTTTGGTGCTAGGGATTGAACCTAGGGCCTTAGGCCTGCCCAGCACAACTTCCACCACTGAACCACACCCCCAGCCCCAAGAATCTGATAGTTCAGGGGGACGCTTTTCTTCTTCCTTCAGGTCAGTGGACATGGAAAAGGTTTTGCCAAGGGAATCTGAGAAGTATACCAACAGTTTTGCCTTTAATCATGGTAGTCTAAGTGATTCAGACCATCCATCCCATTGAAAGTGGCTAGAAAAAGCTGCATGTAACTTAAAAAAAAAGTCTGAGTGCATTCAAAGAAGTAAAGGATTATAGAGCCAAAATCCAGGAGAAGGAACAAACCTACAGAGTGCAGCCCAATAGTTTTGGCTGCTTTTCTTTTAGAGGCATTTGCTAGTTTCCAAAAAGACAGTTAAAAAGCAGAGAAGCTGAGTGGGAGCTTTTGGTAGACTAATGCAGGAACAGAGACAAGAGTTTTAATTCAGAGTCCAGCATTGAGAGGGGCCTGGGGAACCTCTCTGTCTTTAGCATGGAACCCTGAAGCACTACACCACAGGTGCATGGGCGAATTAAAAAACAAAACCAAAGGTGTATTAAGAATTGTAATGCAAAAATAAATAAATAAATAACAAAACAAAACATCAAACAAACAAACAAAAAACCAGGTCAGTTTTGAGTCACTTCAGTCCTTCATTCAAATAAAGTAAATTGGTATTACTGGTGCCCCTAACCTAGTTGCTGTTGACTAGAAGCAAATGGAAATTCTTTGAGTCAGAAGATAACATACACAGTAAAAGTATTTTCAAAATGAAGAAGAAATAGTAATAATACCAACAAACAAACACTAAGAATATTTGTCACCAGCAAATATAGACTAAAGGAAATACTAAAGGGAACTCTTCAGCAAAGTTAAGAGATTTCAGCTAACACAGTAAATACCTACATAAGTCTAGTTATGAATACTGTCTCTTTAAAAATAGAATACTGTCTATTTAAAAATAACAAGGAACATCTTCCAATAATAAAGACTCCACTTACCAGAAACACATAACAGTTCTAATTGTGCATGTATCTAATGATATACAGGTGCTCCCCAACTTAGGATGGGGTCACATTCTGATAACCCATTGTAAGTCGAAAATGTTGTAAGTTGAAATTGCATTCGAAGCACCTCAACTACTGAACATCGTACCTTAGTGACTGCACTCTAGGTGGTTCCTTCTAGTGATCATGCTGCCACTGCCCAGCAACATGAGAGAGGATCATATATCACTAGCCCAGAAAAAGACAGAAATTCAGATTTCAAGATGCAGTTTGCATTGCTTTCACACCATTGCAAAAGTGAAAAATCATTACACTGAACCACTATAGGTCAGAGACTATCTGTACTCCAAATACGTAAAGCAAAATTTAACCCAACAGAGGTACAGATTAGAACCCTGTGTAACAAAACAAAACAAAATTAAATTCAGGATGAACTAGTTAGCAGCTCTTTCCAACTCGTGTGCTCTGGAAAGATGAATCACACACTGCTTAAACAACTAACCTCACTGCATGCAACAAGCCAATTATCCTGGATGTGCCTTGATTTTCAAAGCTCCATCAATTCTTGCCCGGATTCTGCCTCTAACTCTTCCATCAACCACCATAACTAACTCCTCCCCAGCCACTTTATAAAACCCAAATACTCAGGGGACTCGGGGAATTCATTTGATTGAAATTATTTGGACAGTTGCCACTTGTCTGGCACATTTTCATTAAACTCAGCTTGATGTTTTAATTAAAACATATCCGTTTTTTATCGAGACCATCTTTTGTGGTGACCTTTACACACAAATATGGCTAGAAATATCAGAAGAAACAACATTAGGCAGAGCAGACCGTGCTTGTGTTTGGAGGGCAGACTCTGAGGGGTGAGTGGGTAGACCAAATGGCCAGTGGATTTAGTTCAAAGCCATGATTTTTCTATGTGCATCTATTACTTTGTTACAAGTAAAAATTAAATTATAAATAAAAAAAGAAAAGAAGCACATTTATTTCCGCTGAAATAGGGCAAACATATTTAGTTAGATTTGGTAAATATTTGTGAAGGACCTATTTCGTGCCAAGTGTTGCACAAGGCAGCAGAATAACAAATCTGAAAAGACAGAAGTCAGCCCAGCAAATAGGTCATAGTCACCTGACTTCCTCCTGCAGAGTCTGGGTGGTCCAGTGGAATAAGAATCCATGTACTGCTTTTGGCACTGCTTTTAACTTTCACAACCAAAAATGTAAAAAGTCGGGCAAGGTCTGTGCTCAAAACCAGGTGACTTAGAAAAAAATATGAAAAAATTCATTTGACTGCAGGAATTGAGAAATCCGTTTCCAAGCCCAAATTTATTTATAGCTCGGATTCACAGAGAAGCTCTAGTTCTACTCAACAGACATCTCCTGATAATTATTCTTTTGATAATGATTATGTTTGCCATGCTATTTATTAAGTTCTCATTGTGCTCAAATTCTGCTCATTTTTATTCTTTCATGAATAATCGTAACATTTATCTCACCATAAAAACAATTGCATAGTTAAATTTCTAGCCACCCAGTTGTATCGACCAGGAGTGAAAAGTTTCTGTCATTATAACTGCTATTGTTCCTTAACATTTATCGAATGCCAACAAATTCCAGGGACACACACTAATGTGCAATGGCTTTTGAAATATTTTAAATGTCTCTAAAATATTTTAAAAATCCCCCAAATTTGTAAAGTCTATAGAAGAGGGTTTGACCCAAGGAATTATCTTCAAATTTCACTTCTACTTACCCCTTTGTTTGACATCAGCAACTCTCTTTCCAGTGTTTCATAACTTAGTCACAAATTAGAATCATCTGGGGAGCATCCTTAAAAAAGAAAAAAAAAAAGACAGTTTCTAGGATGGCTCCCCTCCCCCCAGCCCTAAGAGGTTCTGATTTCTTTGTTCTTGGGAGGAGCCTGGGTGTCCTTGTTAATATCTCTTCAGCTGGTTCCAATATACAGTTGGTGTTGAAGACCACTGCCTAAAACAGTGGTTCCCACACTGTGGTCCCAGGACCAGGCAGCACAAGGTCACCTGAGAACTCCTTACCAGTGCAAATCCTCAGGTTCCCCCAGCCCTGTGGAACCAAAAATTCTGGGGGTGGAGCCCAGTAATCTGGTTTTTATCCCTCCAGGTGATTCTTATGCACCTTAAAGCTCAAACCATGGACTTAAGAGAATATAAAAATAGGAATTCTCAGGATAATGCAGTTAACAAATGAGGGAGAACACAGATGGGAGCTCCCTTTCTGAGGTGGGAGCTCTGTGGTAGTAGTTTCAATGAATGTGCTGACCTTATGGAGGAAGATGCTTTTCTTTTATAATAATTTTACCTAGCATATGCATCACACCTTGATGATGTGACATTTGCACCCTCACCCAAAACCCCCTATCTATCTATCTATCTATCTATCTATCTATCTATCTATCATCTATCTATCCATCCATCCATCTCTCTATATATACAGATATTCCCTCCATGAGATCAGGGGATTCTTGGGAGAGAGAAAAGGAAGGAGCAGGAACATGATCATAAATCTGGTGAGCATGAAAATTGGGATTCCTGGGCCAGGTAGTGTGGCACATACCTGCAATCCCAGAGGATCTGGGAAGCTGAGGCAGGAGGATCAAGAGTTCAAAGCCAGCCTTAGCAACTTAGTGAGGCCCTAAGCAACTCAGCAAGACCCTGTCTCTAAATAAGATACAAAAAAGGACTGGGGATGTGACTCAGTGTTTAAGTGCTCCTGGGTTCAATCCCTGGTATAAGAAAAAAGGAAAGAAAGAAAAGAGAAGAAATTGGGAGCTCTGAGTGTTTGGTAGAACAAAGTGGGTATTTCTCAGTATTTCTCAATATCCATGCATACCTGCACATAGGTACACATAAACAGAGTGCAAAATTAAATTAGTTGATTTTAGGAAATATTTCATGTAGCCCTCTAAGGAGATCTTGTTGACTTTTTACTCTACCATAAAAATCACACAGCCTGAGAGTCACTTTAGGCTGAGGTGAGTTCATTTGTCTCATGCCCAGATTGTACTTCAGAAGGAACAAATGCTGAAATTTTGATCATTTTATAGAGTTTCCAGCTTTCCAAAGAGGTACTTCTCGTAGTTGCCATGGTAAATCCCTTTGAACAGTATTTTTAATGCTTCTCATTAGCAAGTAGCATATGGTGAGGTTACACTGTGCATTTTTTTCTAAAATAATAACTATGGTAGCATGTGATACGAGTGAGCTAGGCAGTTGACTTGTACTACGTGGAGGCAGAATGTTAGGCAGGGGGTCATTTCTTCCATCATTAGGTCCTCAGGACGAGGATTATACATATCTATTGAAAGATAAATTGTTTAAGTAGGTCCCCAATGTTATGATTTAGATAGCTCATGTATTAGACAGTGCAAGAAGTTCAGAGGTGAATGATCAGATTATGAGAATTGTAACCACAATAGGGTCTAACTGGGCAGTCCCTGTAGGCAGGCAGGGTGCGGCTGGAGGAGGTGGGTCACTGGGGGTGTGCCTTTGGAGTATATATTTTGTGCTGGTGAGCAGGATGCTCTCTCTGTTTTCTTGTTGCCATGTCCTGAACTGCTTTCCTCCTTTCACTATGATGTTCTGTTTCACTTCAGGCCCAGAGTGGTGGGGTCAACCATCTAGGGACTGAAACCTTTGAAACCACAAGTGCCAAATAAACTCTTTCCACCCCCAAAATTGTTCTTGTCAGGTCTTTTGGTCACAACAGTGAAAAGGCTGACTAAAAACACCTTATCTTAGGGCAAACCCAACTTAATTTAGGTGAATCAATATTTCTAAATATCTCAGAGGACTGTATTGTAATTAACACAGACATTTTGAGCTTGGCTTGGATGGCAGAGCATTAGCGCTCAGTGTGTTCTAAAGATGAGGACAGTTGCTGGATCCATCCTGATTTTCAAGGCCAGTGCTAGACTTGGTGTAATCAATATCCAAGTAAGAAATATTCTTAACATGTCAGAGGCTTATGAAAGCTGGAAATTTACAGGAGAAAATAATAGTAGGAGCCTACCTGCATAGTTTGTGGCATTTAACCACAAGGATGTGGCACTACTTTAGAATAATTGTATATATTACAAGGATATTGCACTGTCATGAATAAGCAGTCTTGGGGAGGATACTAAGATACTCTATAGGCTTCCTTATACCAGATGTTAATTGGAAGAATTTTAGCCATACAGAAATAACAAAGCAAGAAAATTAAATTACTCCTTGTATGTAAATTAGAAAAATGTGAGCTAGTTGGAGTATATAAACGGAAAGAAAGTGGACAATTAGGCTGTCATTAAGCCCTAGTATGTCAATGATCCTGTGTCATCATGCTAAAGCATATCATGATTATTATTACCTTCCTTAACAGCTTCTCAAGCAGAATCTGAGAGCCACTAAACTGGAATAGCCCAAAGACATTTGATAGCAATGCCATTCGCCAACACCTTGTGGGCTATTATATAAAGTTGTATGTTGCTAGAAAGTTAAAATTGGAAGATGCTAAAAACTTTTCAGGGTAATGTATTAGTCATCTAGTGCTGCGTGACAAATCACCACAGAGTTATTCGTCCAAAACAACAGAAATTTTTACCTCACCCTGTCTTTGGGTTCTGTTCAGGCACAGCGGGGTCCTCTGCTTAGAGTCTCATAAATCTGAACTGAGGTGACAGCCAAGCTGCACACTCAACTGGAGGTTCCGCCAGGGGAAAATACTCTTCTAAGGTCACTTGGGTTATTGGCAAAATCCATCTGTGTGTGGCTGTAGGATTGAGGGTCTCCGCTTGTTCTGGCTGGAGGCTGTCCTCAGCACACAAGCTCCTGCAAGCCACCTGCAGGTCCTTGGGGCTGCCTGCCAGTTCCTTGCCATCTCGGCTTTCCCAACATGGCTGCCTACTTCATTCAGCCAGCACGTAGAGTCTCTAAAGCAACCAGCTAGCAAGATGGAAACTTGGATGACATAATGCTATGTCAGCGGCGGCATAGGTCACCTTCACCATATTCTGTTGGTGGGAAGCAACTCCAAATCCCATCCACACTCAACAAGAGGGGATTACACAAAGGCTTGACCACTGGGAAGCCAGGGGGAAGAGGTGCAGGGGCTTAGACTTAGCCCCTTCACCCCAGATAATCTATTTAACCCGCCTGAGTTTCATTTTCCTCATATGTCAAGCAGGATCTGGAATCTCTAGCCCATGGGGTATTGTGTGTATTAGATGAATGTAGAACACAGAGTCTGGCTTATAGAAAGTCCTCAAGATAATAGTCAACTCCTCAAGTCTCATTTTCTTCCCTCCCCTTTCCTTACAGTGTGACAGCACATTTTTTTCTTTCCTATCTTTTCACTCCTTTTTAATTCCTTAAAGAAATAAGATTCGGGGCTGGGGTTGTGACTTAGTCGAGTGACCCTGAGTTCAATCCCTAGTACCCACCCCCACCAAAAAAAAAAAAGGAATGTCAAATTTTAAATTTCTTGGGCAGGGTCCCTCCTCTTCTGGCTTTAGAATAGTGCAGGATTCTTGCTTAAAATCAACACAGAATGTATTTCTCTTAGCTTGGTGTTAGGGATCAGGAAGTTTTTACTTTGGACAGTGGGAATTAACTTCCTATAGTTAAGGGTGAGGAAAATGAAAAGGCAGTTTTCTGTTCTCCCTGTCTCCTGTCCACTGGGGTACCAGGTGGAGGTGGGATGGGTCACACACACACCACCCAACATTGGTTTGGATGTCCAGACTAGGGATGCTTCACCCAAAGTAAGAGAGCATGAAAAGCTTTCTTTCCCCATAATGAGGCTCTCTGGGGAGAGCAGGACAGGCTGCCAAGAAAGTCTGAAGAGGGCCTGAGAGAAAGCAAGGAGGGGAACTGGCTTGGGCTTGTATATGGCTAGGGGGCGTGCAGGGCCAAGGGCTTGTGTGCACTAAACTTCCTTCCAGATGGCGCATGTGGGCTTTCTTATTCACCTGCTCAGCCGTGGGACAAGAGGGTAAGACTAATAGATAAGGTAGAATAGAGTCAAACTTTTAATTACACCTTCATCAAGGTTTAGAAGGAGGAGGAGCAGACATGTCCTCTGCCTGAGCCCCTAACCCATCCCACTTGGGCTTATGTGGGACACATTAGCTGCGCTAATTCTATAGAAACAGAAAAGACTGACCTTACACTAGGCATCCCCTAAGCATTTCACTTCCATCAACCCACTTAATTCTCACAATAACCCTGTGAACATGTGTACTGATAGTATTCCCACTTTGTAGATCTGATGCAGGTGTAAGACCTGGGGAAGGAGAAAAGTAGAGAAGGAAGAAAGGAAGGAGTCAGGTGTGTTGGTTAGGGGAGTGGACTTGATCCCTCCAGAAACCTGCCTCTGAGTGCAACCCTAGCTAAAGCAAGGCCACAGCGTGAGCACCAGCACCGTGTGGAATCCAGCTGTGGTAGCTGGAGGCTGTCAATCAACTGTGCTCCCTGCAGCAGGTTCTCCTGAAGTGGCAACCTGAGCAGTGTTCCTCCATGACTGTCACAGGCTGTGATCCCTGTTGACGTCCTTTGAGAATCTTGCACAAAGAATGAAAGTCCTTTTTCATGCCATTTTTGTTGGGATGGAACCTCAAAGAAATCTCTTAAGACAGGGTCTCACACTCGATAAGCAAAGTTTATTGACAGGCTTGGCCTGCCAGGCTGTCCAGTCGAGGGGTGCAGCAGCCAGTGTCACTTGAATGGAAGCTTATATATCTTTTAGACAAGGAACAAGAGCAAACTGGAGTTGACCTTGGGTGCAGGTGCTTGGGTAACAACAATTTTTTTGTGTTT